TTTTTAAGGTCAAACCTGGCTCTTTTATTCTATCACTATAGTGTATTTTTACAAGCTTAAAAGGAGACCAATTTTCGTGACTAAGCAGCTTGCCATTAGGAATAATCATTTCTGAAGTCTCTGGCAAAATAAAAGAAGAGCATTTAGTGCATGTAAGTAGACTAATCAGAAAAATATGAGACAGGAAAAGAAGGGGTTTTCTGTCTCTGACTTTTTGGGGTTTTTTAAAGATTTTATTTTAAAGTAATCTCTGCACCCAACATGGGCTCATACTCACAACCCCGAGATCAGGAGTTGCATGCTCTCTACTGATGGAGCCACTCAGGTGCCCTGGTCTCTGACTCTTTGAAGGAGAGGGGACAGAACTGTTACAAAGAATCTTTGAGAATATAATACAAAGAGACAACTGGAGATAAATATCAATATGGATTTTAATGCAAGAAAGTTAACTTAATCATGAGTAAGAAGACTTGTTCTCCAAATGGAGCTGGCAATTTATAAGTGAACAGAAGCTTCACTCATAACTACGTAAATAATGATAAGTATTTGTGCTTTTTTGGGCGGGGTCCTGGCTCTAATTTGAGCCATGCCTACAAAGTGAGTTATGAAGGTAATATGATAAAAGTAAACTAAGTGCTATCACACTTTTTTTCAAGCTCTCAGCACAAATCTAACCTCATCTAACACAAATTTGACTCAGATGGATCTACAGATAGGTGAAGAAAACATCCACTTATAATCCTAAAAATACATTATTACCAATATCAAACGAGGGAAAACATGAAGATATAGGCATATACCCAGTTATCTGTATGTAAAAGTTCTTAGAATTCTCAACTTTTGTAGAAAATACAATTTTTCATGTGTATAGAGAATGCTGCAGAACTTCTAACCAAATTCAACATTTTTAGCATTTAATTTCAGCCCGTAGTGAACAGTTACCTCAAAACTTCTTTCTTTTATTAATGGTTCTGTTCTGCAATGCACAATTATCACATTAGAAGTTATAGAGAAAGTACAATTACATACTCTTAAAGCCTTTTTAATGAGATTTCAAACTTCTTTAAGAAGTCTATGCAATTTGGGGCATGTGGGTGGCTCAGTCAGTTAACCCTCTGACTCTTGATTTCAGCTCAGGTCATGGTCTCACAGTTCACGGGTTCGAGCCCCATGATGGGCTCTGTGCTGGCAGCACGGAGCCTGCTTGGGATTCTCTGTCTCCCTTTCTCTCTGCCCCTCCCCCACTCTCTCTTTCATAAATAATTTTTTTTTTTAAAGCGTTCTCTTAAAAAAAATAGCCTATGCAATTCACTTTGGAGAAGATTCAAAAGCAAGAGATTTGATTTCCTTTTATATTGCTGAAATCCTTACCAATCCACTAATCTATACATTCCTCCAATACAGAAAAATAACAAGAATTTACACAACAAACTTGGTCAACTGCACCCGTACCTGAGTTTCATTTATGTTTTATCTAGTTCCACTTATTCTTATTTTTCTCCTGTTTACTAATTTTTATATTTGCAGAAGACCAGCATTTGATTCCTGAAAAGAGCATATTCACTAAAGAGCTTCTCAATTATATTCATTACTTGCCCAAATGCCCAAATACTCTTTAAATATCCTTTCCTCTGTATAGCTAAATCCCCAAATGCTTAAAAAAATACTTATTTATTTTATTTTATTTATTTTTTTTTTAATTTTTTTTTCAACGTTTTTTATTTATTTTTGGAACAGAGAGAGACAAAGCATGAACGGGGGAGGGGCAGAGAGAGAGGGAGACACAGAATCGGAAACAGGCTCCAGGCTCCGAGCCATCAGCCCAGAGCCCGACGCGGGGCTCGAACTCACGGACCGCGAGATCGTGACCTGGCTGAAGTCGGACGCTTAACCGACTGCGCCACCCAGGCGCCCCAATACTTATTTATTTTAAGAGAACACAAGCGGGGAGCCTGACATGAGGCAATCTCATGAACCATGAGATCATGACCTGAGCCGAAGTCAAGAGTTGGACGCTTACCCGAGACTGAGCCAGCCACCTAGGTGCCCAGCCAAATCTCCTTTAAAATCACTTCTTTTCTTGCCTTTTGTGCTACACTAAGTAACTTTCAGTGTTAAGTTTGTGTGTGTGTGTTTTAGTACTTCCTTATCTTTAATGTGACAAAGTAATATAGTAGAGGCAAAGGCTGGCCTGAGTGTGAACCTGCATTCCACTGAAATGGTGCTAGGATCATAGAAAATCACAAAAGGCCATGGACGGGGAAAAGGGAGGTCTGGCAGGACTGTGAACATGGGAAAGAAAGCGAGGCTCAGGGATGAGGACACTCTGAGACTATCATCGTAAGAGAAGGCTAAGTGGCAAAACGTCTCCAAATAACTAAGTTTGAAACTATTTTCTTTCAGAATTTTCTGCTACAATTTCCGAAAGTTCTTAACTTACACATACTAAAATTTCAAGTAGCCTAAAATATTCTAATAGAAAATATAAGAACATTTACAGTTTTCAAGGTCTAATCTTTTTAGCAGTGAACTTTTACACTCACTACGGAAATGAAACAAGAATGTAACCCACCAGACACAAATGGTTAGTTTTCACAGTAATTCCATAATTTCAAAGGAAACATTAAAAATGAATACTCTCCTCAATATAATCAGAACCACCACCAAAAAGCCCTTAATTTTTGAAGCAGAATTTGTTTCCAGCATTATTTTCTTTTTGGTCACAGTCTATCTATGGTCTATCCTTTGTAACGTCATTGCTATCATCTTTCAAAAAAATGTCCATCTACAAATTAATTAACTTTCTTGAGACAAATCCCTGGTATACTATTCTTCTGATTCCCGTGAAAGACTCACTTTTAAGATACAATTGCAGCTGCCCCACACTGCCAGTTACTGTGTCATACACACGCCTTAAAATTCTGTAATCAGCAACCACCAGGTGCCGTATCGCATTCAGCACACCACAGTCAGTCAATACAGACATCCCCAAACACACCAAGGCTGGTTTTGTCAAATGTTTTATTGAGTGTAGACATCTGGAGTACTGTAAAACATGCATTATCTGTAGATTCAAAAAGGAGCAAGCCACATTGTCCTCACTGTCAAATGTGTCAGGCTTGGCATCCATGATGGAGATTAATGAAGTATCATGAGAGTAATATGGTTCCTGAAAAGCCTCTACAATTTGGACTAGGGTCTTAATCACGTGAAAAGCAAAGCTGTTCACATTTAGTGAACTTGCATTTCATTGGAGGTACACAGTATTTTAATTTTAAAACAAAAATAATTCTGTTTTTAGAAGATTCCCATCCCCCAACTGTATCTGTCCCTCAGTTTTCAGAAATTTTAATTTAAAAAAATCATATCCCTTTTTGGAAGTTGTACATTTATCTGAACAATAACTACAATTTATTTCTTCTTCGGTTGCTGAGGTGTATTAAATTTGAAGAAGATAATATCTCCATCTTCGACAATGTAATTTCTGCCTTGTTGTCTGTACTTTCCAGCAGCCTGTAAAGAGGAGATAGAGAGGAAATGGGTTATTTTAAAACTAAATACATGAGGTAAATGGTAGCAGCAGATGCAAAAAGTATTCTACTTCTTGGGTCATATTAAACACAACAAGAAATACGGGAAAACATGTAAGTTCAAAACTAGACTAGGAGAGAAGCAAAGTCTTCCTGATTTGGGCAGAACTAGATTTTCCATATGTACATAATCATAATGTATTCTCTACTAAATTGTTGGTACATAAATGTAATTATACCAATATCATTAAGTTTCATTACATGCTGTTTATGGTACATTTCTGATGTGTCTGCAAACATCCGGCAAGTCACTGTAACAAAACAGATCAAACCAGGCAGGAAGACTAGACAACTAGTTCGAAGCTACTTTATTTGCTTAAGGAAAATATTTGGTGATACTGGTGATGCCAAAGAGTCTGCTACAAGAGAGACTATTACCAATTTTAATGTACAGATTTTAAATTATTTCCTTGAATTTTTTTTTATTTAGTCTTGACAACGGCCAGAGTAGTGTGTACTAAAATTCATCACGAAGAAGTTTACTGACTAACGGCCCTAGTTACAAGCAGACTCTAACAGGTTGGAACTGCAAAGACAGATATTTTTCCCACTTGTAAATTAGTCGGCAAAGCAACTGATTCCACCTGCTGGCATGCAGATCCCCAAGTGCAATCCGCCAGTAATTCTAATACAAACAAGCAGCAGTTCCAGGGACCCAGGTTCACCCCAGGTGCAGCACACACACTCCACCCTAAGCACAACAGGCTCTTCAGCATCTACACTTAACACTGCACACAACTGACACAGTCCCACAGGACCCCACCATCGACCACTCAACAATGAGAACTCAAGGATCTTTTGGGAAAAATTCTCCAAAGTATTTTCTCTCTGCTAGAATTTACTGAGAACATGAAACCTTTGCCCAACAAGATTAGTACTTCTCTTTGTGGATGTTGATAAGAATGTTCAAAGTCAAGTACAATTATACTAATCAGACACAACACTAACAGAGATCATATATCTGAGGTTAAAATCAACAAACCAGATCACAGAACCCTAGTAAGCATATTTTCAAATGTCTAGACTACTTATTAAAAATCACCTACTAACAATGTGCTATTAAAATGGAACCATTTTTTAAAAAACCAAGATACCCTAACATTCTAAAAAGATACAGATAGATATACACATAAACACACACATACCCACATTCACATGATTTCTGTAAAGACATGTGATATATTGAAGGCCATATGCTACTTATTTTGAGAATCTAAAGCCCCCTGTTATAAAACAGTATAGACAATTTAAATCAAATACGTATTGACATGACATATTAATGTAAGTTTATATACTTTGTTACCACTCAACTTTACTACTAATTAAAGGTGACAGTGTTCCTTTAAATTCTCTAGAGACCATTTAATCCATTTCCACTGCTATCAGAAACACTGGTTGAAAAAAAAAATC